AAAGCCCCAAAAATTCCAAAAAAAAATATTTTTTTGGATAATTTTTTAAAATTTTTGAAAAAAAAAAAAATTTTTTTTTTTTTTTTTTTTTTTTTTTTTTCATAATAATGGACATGTGTAACAAACTAGGAAAAAGCCAACTGATCAAGTCAGGATGCACATAATGTGTGGTGCTTGTAAATGGAGGCTGGGCAGCAGAACTGTAAGCTGATCTTAGGGCTGAGCTGCATAAGATGAGTACACCATAAACATTTCCTGGTTATGCTCTTCCATTGGATAACAGGGTTAGTCAATTACAGCAGCAAATCTACAAGCAGTATATACACTTCTGAGAAAGAGACTGCTATTTTTTTTTACCTATTTTTTTTTACCATTACCTACTGAAAATATTAGTCATTCTGACATCTGACTTCCTTTCGCCAAGATGACACACAATTGAGCTAAAATGCAAAGCTATACAAGAATTAGTGGGAACCACTAATTCTTGTATAGCACACTGAGTGTGGCCTGTACAGCAGCTGGATACCTAGTAGACTGAAAGCAGACTCTCTAACAATCATTTTCCTGTCTGACGACTGTCAAAAGAAGGTTACTAGAGCAGACTAAGCCTCTAAAAAAATTAATATTATCACATTATGTTATACAGCATAAGAGAACTGTTTTAAAATTACATAAAAAAATACATCTCCTCAGTTTTAAGATTGACTACTTTTATTGTAATGAGTGTTGTATCTGTGTCAGCTAGGAGTGACTGTAATAAACAAAAAATGTCCTCTGTTTTTCAGTTCCTCCGTGTGGTAGATGCATGTGCAAGCTTTCTGAGCAACTCTATTCATCTGGAGACCTGCGTAGGGATCCTAAATCTGGCTGACAGCCACGTTCTGCCCACCCTGAGGACCAGGGCTCAGGACTTCATCACCTCTCAGTTTTCTCAGGTAGTGCAGCAACAGGACTTCTTAGAGCTGCCTGCAGAGTCTCTGGAGGCCATCCTGCAGAGGGATGACCTCAGTGTGAAGTGTGAGGAGTGTGTCTTTGAAGCTCTGATGCGCTGGGTGAGAGCCCAGCAAGATGAACGCTATCCATTACTGGCCAGCTTGCTGTCACATGTGCGGTTGCCATTGTTGGAGCCGGCGTACTTTGTGGAAAAGGTGGAGTCAGATGAGCTGATACGTCGCTGCGCTGAGGCTTTCTATTTGCTGCAAGAGGCTCGCATGTATCATCTTTCTGGTAGAGAGGTTTGTATCCATTAAAAAGACAAATTTATCTCACTTTTTGGAATTAAAAACAGCTTTGAGAGCTACACAAATATTTACCTTTATCACTGACGTATTTGTAGGTGGTCTCAGAGCGAACCAAACCACGAGTGCAGCACTTTCTGTCAGAGGTTTTTCTGATCATTGGAGGATGCACTAAGGACGAACGCTTTATTCCCACTGTCACCTGCTTGGATCCTCTAAGACGCAGCCGACTGGAGGTGGCCCGGTTGCCAATGACAGAAATGGAAGATGAGACCCAAATCAGGAAGTGGGTGGAGTTTTCTTGCATCACTTTCCACAATGAAGTTTACATATCAGGTGAGAAATCAATCACAATCTTATGCATAAAGACTGAAATCTGATGCCACCATCAACTTTTAATTGACAACTTCCATCATAATTGTTGCTTCTGAAATATACTCTCTTTACTGGAACTGAAATGTGATGGCTGAACTGATAAAGTTTGAGTTTACTAGAGAACAAAACAAACAGGAAGGCGTGGTGTCATCTGCATTCACAGTTACTGTGGTTTTAGGCGTTTCCCAACCCAGGAACTGACATTTTAGCTTTGGGTAAAATGGTGCGTCAACTGCCAAGGTTGATGCACGCTGCAAAAGTTAAAAAAAGGTCATGGGCCTGTTAGCACTAAACCTAGATATGACCACAATGCTCCAACGCAGGCATCCAGACTAATCTTTAGTCTACATGTTAGGATAAATTAGTGCTTAGAAGGACATAGAGTCTTAGCGACAGATGACATTTTCCTCATATGATTTGCTTGCTGCAGGTGGTAAAGAGACCCAACACGATGTTTGGAAATATAACGGCGCCCTGGACAAGTGGATCCAAATTGAGTCAATGTCGAACGGACGCTGGAGACACAAGATGGCAGTTCATGGCGGAAAAGTGTACTCTCTGGGTGGATTTGATGGGATTCAGAGGCTTGCTAGTGTGGAAGCCTATGATCCTTTTCACAATCGCTGGACACAGGTAAATACACATTTAATTCAAAATTGGCTTTGATGTCTCTTGAACACGGATGGTCTTAAGGAGTTCCGCAGGTACATCAGAAACACAGTAGAATCCCCAGAGCACATCCCCAGCCATATTTCAAAGTTGTAACCTTATTACATTATCCCAATAAGTGGCAATGCCACTAGAAAAATTAACGAAATGCAACACTCACTTCCCCAGCATTGGTATGCAGCGCAAAGGGTAAGTGCATACACCTCCGAAATGTGCATGTTGGCTGGCCGCTCATAGACTGAGGAATGTTTTGTGCAGTTAAAAGATGCAAGATGTATTGCTGTCAAAAATGGAATTTAAGACATGCAAACAGATTTGTACTGTGCTCTGTAAAGCCACCCACCTTCCTCTCGCTGCTGATAAACTGATGAAAACAGTGATGGAGTCTACCACAAGAAAGCTCAAAATGATGTTGGAGGTGCATAAATCTGAGGTTTGGGAGGTTTCAAATCTCCAATATGCTTAGAGAAATTGTAGAAATTGTGGGGAAACATCTTACATATACTTGTGGTCACTGTCATTATGATAAAACGGGGAAGAGAAAAGCAGAATTAAAGCTATGTTCTCACTACGAAGTGTGAGGCAGGTTTATACTTGCTTTCCTTAGAATTCCCGAAATAAAACTCCCTTCCTTCACATTTTTTAAATGTAACAAATGCTAGAGCTCTTAAAGGAGCCTGGTTTAATTACATTATTAGTGATATAATTGTAAATTTATCACTTAATTATATTATATTACCAGTGTTATATTAAATATGTGTAACTGTTTTTGTAATAAATGTGTTTTTATGATGTGGACCCAAGGAAGTAGCTATTGTCATGGGATCCTAATAAACAAACAAAAAAAAAATATATATAT